GTTTCGACTGCAACACAAGCAATCGTCATCAGGTGTGAAATCCATAGCCAGAACATTTGAAAAACAAAATGTTGCTGTGGATTTCACACCTGATGATGATTGCTTGTGTTGCAGTCGAAACGTCGTGATAATTTTTTATTGTTTAATATGTTTATTATTTTATTATTTCCCTTCTACGTGACTTTACCGAAAGAACCAAGAACATGAACGCCTCTCTCGCTCCTTCTCTCTTTCCGCTCGCGCAGATCAAACAAACAAAAACTGCCGGCCGGTGGCGGCGCCTTTTTAATCCAGCGCCGTGGAGGTAGCAGCCCAGGTTTATGGACTCAACGACGCGTTTGTTGTTGTTGTTGTTCAACTCCCTTCGCGTTCCTGGGCGGGCGGAGGACGTGCGCCTACGTACGGTGCGAAAGAAGTGTCGTAGATGCGTGCCGTGCCCTGGCTTGAATGCGTGAAGACGGCGGGTACAGCAAAAAATGTGAACTCCACCTGTTCCCTCTGTATGGGATAGAGTGCTGCACCCTCGCACGCGTCGTTTTTTTTCCTTCCCTCGGATGCCCCGGCTTTCTCCCACACGTAATCACTCATCAATTGGCAGAAAACACCTCAATATATAGAGGACCGCAGACCTCGTGTGGGATGATTTGACGCCGGCTCACCGCGTGGTTGCTGCTGCTCCTGCTGCTGCTGCTGACTGACCGCTCGTCTGTTGTGGTTCTTCCTCGCGTCTTTTGAGCCGTTCTCTCTCCAAGATTGAGTGAATCCTCGCCGCGTAGCAAGTTGAAAACAATTTTTTTTGTAATTTATTATCTGGAGCCCACGCCACGGAGTACCGCGGAATTCAAAGACAGCTGTTGGTAGGAGGGTGCTTACGGGTCCGTGTTTCAAGGATAGTTGACTCTCACTCGGAGCTGTCCCTGGCTGAGCTCCGCAAACAAACACGCTGTTGGTGGGCCTCGGTGAACTCGCATGCAACACGTGTACACAAGGATAAAGAACCCCCGTGTAGCCTTACACACACTGTTGGGGCAAGTGCTGTCAGCGAGTAGCACCTATGAAGGCTGGCACGGCACACGAGGGGGTGGGGTGATCAGCACCACGCCCGGCCGCCTTTGTCTCCCCAAGGGCAATGTTCGCACATCGCACCAGGTATTCACACACAAAGACAAAGATTCCTCGTATAGCCTTAACAGGCTGTTGGGGCAAGTGCTGTTCGCGAGCAGCTGAGGCCGGCACGGCACACGGGCGGGCGGGTGAGGTGGTCATCACCACGCTCGGCCGCCTTTGTCTCCCCAGTGGTGATGGGGAGCGGTAGTGTAGCGGTTAGCGCTGACGGCCACCAAAAGTGACGATTTATCTGAACTGGTCATGGGCCTCTCCTAGGGCGACTCAGCGGTGTGTCAAACTCACCACGTGACAAATATACCCCGTTACAGCCTTAACAGATTGTTGGGGCAAGTGCTGTTAGCGAGCACATGAGAAGGCTGTAATCGTTATTTAGCTATATAATGTAATATTATTATTGCACACACACACGGGATTCACACACAAACCCTCACACACAGACTCTCTCAACACATGGAATCACACACACAGACACACGCATACATGGTGTCACACGCAGACAAACACATACGGAATCACACACACACACACAAGCACGCTATCACACACACAGACACACACGGACTCACACACACACAGAATCACATACAGACATACACATCATGGAATCTCACATAGACACAAGGAATCACACAACAACAACCGCCATTCGCCACTAAGTGGCGGTGACGTCACCACGATGCTTGTGCCAGGCCAAGTGCACCTTGAGGCCACGTGAAGTGTCGAAAGCCCGCTGGCAGGAGGTCACGGGGCAGACCCAGGTGCCACTGGTCGACTGACCGAGATGACCGAGATGACTGGCTGATGCACCACCTGTGCCCCCTACTGTGCCAACTTGCTGTGCTTTAGCCACCCGGCGCTCCGCTCGTTGTTGTGAGCGTCGCTCCTCCGCCCTCCGTTGTTGTTGGAGGGCGACTGCCTCCAACTGCCCAGTAGCGTCCTTCACGAGCCTCCTCCACTGAGGCCGATCTTGACACCGCTGGTACCAGTCATCGGCAAGTCCACTCAGCTCCACGTCCTCCTGTACCACATCACTCCATCTCTTCTCCAGCCCGTGCCGCGCCCGTCTAGCCCCCTCGATCCGGCCGAACAAAAGCTGTTTAGGCATGCGGTGGCTGGGCATGCGGGCTACATGACCCAGCTAACGCAGCCTTGCCTGCCGGAGGAGCTCACTGATGGGACTTTGCCCAGATCTTTCAAGGATTTGTGAGCTCCTCACACAATCCAGCCTGGTTAAACCCAGGATGGATCGTAGGCAGGCCAGCCTAAATGTTTCCAACCGGCGAAGATGCTCCACCAGGGGGGTCCACGTCTCGCAAGCGTAGAGAAGGGAGGGAATGACCGTGGCCGAGAAGACCTGAAGCTTCGTGCGGAGCGACAGACCAGGTAGCTTCCACACAGCGTTACGCAACCGATGAAAAGATATTGCCGCTCGACTGATTCGGAGTGAGACCTCTGCTGATAGACTGGAGCCGGTCATAAGCACACTGCCCAGGTATGGGAAACTCTCCACTCTCTCCACAACTGCCCCATCACCAATTGGGAGTTGTGGGGGTGGAGTGTCCGATGGTACAAAATACCCAGGCAGGTGCTTGGTTTTGGTGGGGCTGATGGTAAGGCCCCACCTCTTAGTGGCACGCTCCAGTCTCAGCAGCAGCGCCTCCAACTCCTCTTCTGAATGAGCAGCTATTACCAAATCATCGGCATACATAACGTGGTTGACCAATAGGGAGCCATCCCTTGATCGCACCCGGGCGTCGATCAGCCTCCCATTATATCTGTACCAAACGGAAATTCCCCCGGTACAGCTATTGAAGGCTTCACGAACTACGCGGTCAAAATAGATGTTAAATAATGTGGGAGCCAGAGGACATCCCTGTCGCACCCCAAGGTGTACAGGGAAAGGCTCCGACTCCCGGCCACGTAGTTTTACCCGGGCCCGCTCACCATCATGAAGGTCCTTAATGATCGTGAGCAGAGGGTCAGGGACTCCGAAAGCACGAAGAACAACCCAGAGTCCAGTCCTACTGATGGTATCATAGGCCTTGACCAGGTCAATAAAGCAGAGATGTAGGTCTTTTTGGAATTCCCTACACCTCTGCTGTAGCAGACGGACAGAAAATATGGCATCTGTGCAGGACCGCCCTTTCCTGAAACCGCATTGGGGCTCCGCAAGCCCCTCCTCAGCGTGCCTAGCAAGGCGATGTTGAATAATCCTTGCCAGGACCTTACCCGGCACACTGAGGAGTGAGATGCCCCTGTAGTTGTTACAGTCTGTGCGGTCCCCCTTCTTAAAGAGGGGGACCACCAGGGCATCCTTCCAGTCCTGCGGAACCCGTCCAGTGGTCCAGACTGTTGTTATGATGTCATATAGGGCAGTCTGTGCACAAACGCCACCCTCCCTCAGCATTTCACACACACACAGACTCACACACACACACTCTCTCGGCCTTAAGATTTGCATTGAACTGCCCATATATGACCCACCACTGCGATCTCTACATTGGGTCAAACTTAACATTTCTTAATGATCGACGGCTTGTGCACCAGATCTTATTTATTCACGATGTACTTACAAAAAAATCTGCAGACTACCTGCTGGATATCCTGACTGTTTCGAAGAACAAATGTGACCTAAGGTCTTCGCTCATTCCCCAGCTTCACATTCCCTATTGCCGTACAAATACTGGAGGAAGGGCTTTTGCTATTGATGCCCCCAGGGTCTGGAATGCTATCGCCAATAAACTGCAACTTGGATCACTACCTATGAAATCCTCACTCATAACTGCTCTAGATGAGTTGTACACCCCTAGCTGCCAATGCTATTCAGTGGCCTGAAATCAAATGTATCGCTCCGGATGACTGCTGCAAAGTATGATGTTGAGTTTTGATTATAGCGTGCTGATCTTTAAAGGTGCATTGACAATTTTTGATACTCCTACTGATACTCCTGCTGTTATGGAGTGACTAATGATGCCAGCTATGGTTGCAAAGTTTGGTCGTACATGTTATTTATATCGTTTATTGTTACATTTGAATCACAGTTCCTATGATCACTGTTGCATTGTTTTTATTGCTTTATTTTGGTGATTTCGAAAACGTTTTGGTTTAGCCATATTTGTTTGTTGTAGTACAAAGATAGACTGATAACTTTAATCGAAATTGTCTTATGGTTGTTATTGTTTGACTTGCATCCCACTGGGATTTTTTTTTGCACGCAGCATTCATATTCGGTGCTTTTTCTGGAAGACTTTGCTGTTTTTTTCTATATTTTTCTGTTGCGCGTAGTCACTTTAAGATGTTTCTTGTTCATGTTTTTGTTTGTTGCGGTTGTACCCGATTCAAGAGCTGAATGGCTCACAGGGCTATACCTAATAGATGAACTGAACTCTCTCACACACACATAATCACACATAGACACACACACAGAATCACACAGAGACACACACAGGGAATCACGCACGCAGAGACACACACACGGAAATACACACACACACAAACTTTTGCTCTCACACACGGAATCACAGAAACACGGACTCACACACACACTGACACACACACACTGACACACACACACACACTGACACACACACACAGTCACACACTGACATACACACTTACACACACACACACTGACACACACAGACACACACTGACACACACACACAGACGCACAGACGCACACACTGACACACACTGACACACACACAGACACACACACTGACACACACACACACACACGCACACGCACTGACACAACAACAACAACAACAACCGCCATTCGCCACTAAGTGGCGGTGACGTCACCACGATGCTTGTGCCAGGCCAAGTGCACCTTGAGGCCACGTGAAGTGTCGAAAGCCCGCTGGCAGGAGGTCACGGGGCAGACCCAGCAGGTGCCACTGGTCGACTGACCGAGATGACCGAGATGACTGGCTGATGCACCACCTGTGCCCCCTACTGTGCCAACTTGCTGTGCTTTAGCCACCCGGCGCTCCGCTCGTTGTTGTGAGCGTCGCTCCTCCGCCCTCCGTTGTTGTTGGAGGGTGACTGCCTCCAACTGCCCAGTAGCGTCCTTCACGAGCCTCCTCCACTGAGGCCGATCTTGACACCGCTGGTACCAGTCATCGGCAAGTCCACTCAGCTCCACGTCCTCCTGTACCACATCACTCCATCTCTTCTCCAGCCCGTGCCGCGCCCGTCTAGCCCCCTCGATCCGGCCGAACAAAAGCTGTTTAGGCATGCGGTGGCTGGGCATGCGGGCTACATGACCCAGCCAACGCAGCCTTGCCTGCCGGAGGAGCTCACTGATGGGACTTTGCCCAGATCTTTCAAGGATTTGTGAGCTCCTCACACAATCCAGCCTGGTTAAACCCAGGATGGATCGTAGGCAGGCCAGCCTAAATGTTTCCAACCGGCGAAGATGCTCCACCAGGGGGGTCCACGTCTCGCAAGCGTAGAGAAGGGAGGGAATGACCGTGGCCGAGAAGACCTGAAGCTTCGTGCGGAGCGACAGACCAGGTAGCTTCCACACAGCGTTACGCAACCGATGAAAAGATATTGCCGCTCGCACTGACACACACACACAGACACACACACACAGACACACACACAGACACACACACTGACACACACACTGATACACACACACTGACACACACACACACTGACACACACGCAGACACACACACACTGACACACACACAGACACACACACTGACACACACACACTAACACACACACGCACAGACACACACACACACAGACGCACACACTGACACACACACTAACACACAGACACACGCACTGAGTCTTGGTGTTGCGCTGTGGTCATCACGAGGCTCTCCGCCCCTTCGCCGCTCGCCCTTCGTGAGTTCCCCTCCGCGCTCTCCATCGCTCCGTCTCTCCCCTTGGAGACACCCGCCAATTGCCGTGACCACAACAACAACCACAACCACCAACAACAACCACAACAACCACCACCAACAACAACCACCACCACACAGCGCGAGAGTGACTTCCAAGCCCAGCCTGGGCCTCGCCAAGCCCGCCCCGAGGTCGACTCAGCCTTAAATAAACGAGTAAGCGGCGTCTACTTAGGGGGAGACAAAGGCGGTCGTGCCGCGTGGTTTTATGTCAAAGCAACGCCTCGCGTCGTGCCCGCTACAGTGCGTGAGGGGGGGGAGAGTCTGTGTACAAGGTACAGTGCGCACGTGTGTGAGTGTCACTGTGTTTGTCCGTGTGTGTGTCAGTGTGTGTATGTGTGTGTGACCGTGTGTGTCCGTGTGTGTGTGTGTCAGTGTGTGTGTGACCAAGTGTGTGTCTGTGTGCGTGTGTGTGTCTGTGTGTATGTGTCCGTGTGTGTGACCGTGTGTGTGTGTGTGTCCGTGTGTGTGTGATCAAGTGTGTGTCTGTGTGCGTGTGTCCATGTGTGTGTGTCTGTGTGTGTGGCCGTCTGTGTGTGTGTGTCAGTGTGTCTGTGTGTGTGTGTCTGTGTGTGTGTCCGTCTGTGTGTGTGTGTGTCAGTGTGTGTGTGACCGTGTGTGTCCGTGTGTGTGTGACCAAGTGTGTGTCTGTGTGCGTGTGTCCATGTGTGTGTGTCTGTGTGTGTGGCCGTCTGTGTGTGTGTGTCTGTGTGTGTGTGTCTGTGTGTGTGTCCGTCTGTGTGTGTGTGTGTCAGTGTGTGTGTGACCGTGTGTGTCCGTGTGTGTGTGACCGTGTGTGTCCGTGTGTGTGGGGAGCGGTAGTGTAGCGCTACGCTGCGCTATGAACCCGGCGACCCGGGTTCGATTCTTGCTCATGGCCAACACCAGTGACGATTATCTGAACCGGTCCTGGGCCTCCCCTAGGTCGACTCAGCCTCAAATGAGTACCTGGTGCGGTGTGTCAACATCGCCACTGGGGATACGTGGTGTTGGCCACCCACCCCCTCGTGTGCCGTGCCGGCCTTTGTAGGTGCTCGCTAACAACACTTGCCCCTACAGTCTGCTAAGGCTACACGGGGTATCTTTGTGTGTGTGTCCGTCTGAGACCAGGAAAGGCACCGGGCAGAGATGATCTTCCAAGCGAAATGCTCAGGGAGGGTGACGTTTGTGTACAGACTGCCCTATATGACATCATAACAACAGTCTGGACCACTGGACGGGTTCCGCAGGATTGGAAGGATGCCCTGGTGGTGGTGTGGTGGTATGGATGGTGTGGTGGTGGTATGGATGGTGTGGTGGTAGGGGATGGTGTGGTTTCAAGGATGGTGTGGTTGTAGAATTGCTGTGCTGTAAATGTAATGTAGTGTTGGTGGTAGGCCTGGTGTGGTATAAGTTTGGTGTGTTGGTCGACTTGGTGTTCCGCCAAAGCATTGTCATAGATGGGTGTTGTGGCAGACTTAGTCGGCAAGCCCGTTATGCGGCCAGTGACACAATTCCGGCTACAACCACAGCTTCACTTCACTGGCCTTGCCTCTCCTGACTTCTTCTCTGTAGCAGCACTTAGATGCGTTGGGGTCACATGTCTGGCGTATAATGCACGGGGTATGTATGCAGGCTCACACCCACGCAGTGCAGAGCTGCGCGGAATCATAACCACATTTTCTCACATTGATTTATAGATTGATATCCTTTAATATGCAGTAGTGCAGGCAACGGTGTAAAACCGGTTAACACACGGCACTGAACCCGGCGACCTGGATCATTATCCCGGGCCACGGCTAACATCAGTGGCGAGTGATGGCTCAGCTGGTCTCGAGTACGTACCGTTCCCCTTCAACCCGTGCACTGACCAGCGTGAAGTATGGCTATCGGTCCATGTAAGAGGCATTCACTCAGCAGTGGGTTGACAAAAAAAGGCCGTGAATTGTCCACGTTATTTGATCGTTATGGGGTAACCAAATAATACAAAATATCCGAGGCAATTAAATATTTTATTTCAGGGACACTATTTTTTTATCCTCATGGGGTAACCAAATAATACAAAATATCCGAGGCAATTAAATATTTTATTTCAGGGACACTTTTTTGTCCAGGGGTGTACTTTACTCCGCGACTTGGGGGGTACCAATCAATCCGCAATCGGTGCCACACTCCGCGATGTCGAAACGCAGCGAGGACGATTGCGCCGAAACCCTGAACGCTCGCGGTACGCACCGTAGTGGTGGTGCATCGTGAGTACAGCTCATCGAGATGAGTCGATTGCCGCATCGCCGACCATCAACAGAGACTCAAAACGACTGCGTCACGGACATTGTGCGAGAGCCGGGGTTCTACGGTACCTAGGGGAACCGCCATGAGGTTCAATTATTCGGTTCTTGCGTGTTGCAAAATGTTCAGGAGCCGAATGCATATGTAACGGGCGTATGTGACGCAGGAGAAGTTGATGGAGACAACTCGTATTTATTACAATTAAATTCAATACAGCAGAGTAACGACTCTAACACCCCAAGAGGTATCGGCCTCTTCACCCGGTCTATTAGAGGAAGTGTTCCCCAGCTAACGCTCCCCGTTAACTCCCTACTTCTCTCTATCCCAGACCTTCCCCAAATGTAGGCTAGCTAGCCTGGCCCAGCTTCGGCGCAGGTTCCGACCCTCAGCCGCACGAGTCTGGCCCTTACAAGGACATCAGAGACCTCCCTTGATCTGTGGTCGCACCACTGGCTTGCCCTGCTCGGCCCTTACAAGGACAGCGAGTCAGGGGAGTTCCAGGTCTAGCTAGCTGTGGCCTTCAGTCTTCACTGGCTCTTCATCTTGATCTGTACCCGACAACTGCCTCGAGCTCTCTCGCTCTCCGCCTTATATACCAACATGCCCTCGAGGAGCGGGGCTGTGTGGGATCCCAGCCTCCCCCCCACACAGCCCCCTCAGGGTGGTAACCGTTTGCGGACGTGGATGTAGACACCCCAGTGTAACTGCCCGTTTCTCCCCGTTACGTAACACCTCTACACATATGTCGAGGTCTGGTGGTCACGAGAGGTACTTCAGGAGAGAGTTCGTGGAGTTTTGCTGTTTCTCCTCCTCCTAGATGATGGTCGCTCTTCTCTGTGGCCTATGGTTTGAGTTGCATGGCCACAAGCGCACGACTGTGGCTTGTCTTTAATCTATACCCAAGTTCAAGTTCATTTATTAGGCGTAGCCCCGTGAGCCATTCGGCTCTTGAATCGGGTGCAACCGCAACAAACAAAAAACAAAAACATGAACAAAAAACATCTTAAAGTGAATATGTGACTGAGTGCAAACAGAAAATCCAAGAAAAGACAGCAAAATATTGCAGAAAAAACACCGTACACCCAACACTGTGTGCAAAAATCCCAGTGGCATGCAAGGCAAACAACCAACAACAACCACAAGACAACTTAGATTAAGGCCATCAGTCTAACTCTGTACTACAACAAACAAACATGGCTAAACCAATACACTTTTCGAAATCACCAAGAACTGTGACTGGGTCTCTATGTGTCACTGGATCTCTGTGTTTCTATACTCTTTCGTTCTTTCGGTAAAGTCACGTAGGATTAAAATCAATTAAATCAGTTGTTTCTTGCTGTGGTTGCCTCATCTGATGACGGACGCTTGTGTTGCGCCCGAAGCGTCGTGATTTAATTTATTTTATTTTATAACCTACGTGACTTTACCGAAAGAACCAAAGAGTATGGATCCCTGCAGTCACGAAAACTTCAAATCTAGATTGGGTCTTTGTCTCTACGTGTCACTCTGACTCTCTGTGTATCACGACGGGTCTCTGAGCCTCTTAAGTTTGGTTTGCATGGCCACAATCGAACCACCGTGGCTTGCCTTGAAACTTACATTCATGGAGACGTGTTGTCATTCTGGCACGGTCGATGGTAAATATATCTTCTTCTTCTTCCACGCGTTTGTCGCACTCACGTGGGGTGTTCTGCTGTCCTTGCCAACCTTCCCCACGCTAATAATCCATAATAATAGAGGTTGTTTTGGGTTAGAGCGCGTAAATAGATAAAAGTGTCGTTAAAACCCGCCACCACCCGACACAGCCAATTTAGTAAGGGTTGTCACGTAAGCAGAACGTGGCCAATTCGTCACTAGTACAGCAACACTGGTGTGTTGGAGAGCCAAGCCACAACATTTACAATCTGAGCACGACGTTTCGTCAGTAATTACAACTAGCTTCATCAGGCGACAGCCAGATTTGTGGAGAAGTCTTCCTCCTGTTTCGTTGCTTATATAGAGGCGTAGATGTGGTGACCACGCTTCTGCGCTCTTGTGCAAAGCGGGGAGGGGAATTAATGAGTCAACGTACATGATGCTGCCATGTCTTGCGCCTTCTCTCTTTCCGCTCCTCGGGCCGCCATGTCTGATGGTAAATATCTATATTTATCCTTAATTATTGATTTAATTACCTTTTTCTTGCGAGGGTTCTCAAAGAACGACACGAACGTATGCACGTTTTGCGTGCAACGATGTATCCACGCATCGCGAATACACTGGTTGTGCAAAAAAACGATTGAAAACTAAATTTAAAATAATTATCATTTCTGATTAAAACGTCAAGTTAAA